GTGTGTGTGTGTGTGTGTGTGTGTGTGTGTGTGTGTGTGTGAGAGAGAGAGAGAGAGAGAGAGAGAGAGAGAGAGAGAGAGAGAGGGACTTTCCTCCAAGCACTCCCCAACTTTAAGAATTAAATCTTCTTCTTCAAACTTCAAAGGATCTGCATCTTGAGAAATTTTACTCTACGACGAGAGAAATTTAAGAATTATTAGCACTGAGAATATAAAGGAAATATATTTAGTAGAAAAAGAATATACTAAAAGAATTTCTAATCCATTTGCAAGTTATTATCACAAATAAAAACTTTTAAACTTGAAAGTACATAGAATATATCAAACAAGAGGATCCACACTTAGTAGTGACGATGGAGGATAACTTGAAGTACTTACTCGTGTTTCTTCAAGATTGTATTGCACGCAGGAATAAAATGCCATTTTGTCATCTTTATTTACAAAATTGTGCAACGCAACATCCAAATCATTGACAGGAAGGATCTCCATTTTCTGAATGATTGAATATGGCCATAGCCACAACAAAAAGGGCATTAAATTGCAGATAAATAATCTGTCAAGAATCGTAATATCATTTGCAAGTGCTCATATTTATGATTTTGAATACCCAACTCTTAAATTCTAGAGAGAAAAAAAACGATGTAATATTAAGGACCAAAAAAAAAAAAAAAAAAAAATGGTCCATAGGATAAAATAACCCAAAAATGTAATATTGTCAATAACGCATCTTGTGACCCTATTTATGGTCTAATTCATGTGAAAGTTACTCTCGGTAAATTATGATTCCTAGGAAATAAAGAAATATTACACAGTAACCCATATAGAAGCAGCTCTGTAAATTCGATATAATTGATGAAACAGTACCCAAAAAAAAAAAAAAGGAACGAAAAAATAATTGTTTATACCAGATTATTTTCTGCAACTAAGGCTTCTATGTTTTGTTGGTTTAGTTCTTCTGGACGAAGCCTTTCTGAGTCATCAATTTTCACTATGCAAAAGAAAGAAAGGAAAGAAGTTACAGAGCACACAAAACTATGAAGCAACAACTAGTGGGGACTTTGGTTTAGTCAATTCCGAATAATAATAAATAAATAAATAAGTTAACCACTAGGCATGAGATGTGACATTAAGAAATCTCCAATACCAACAAACACCACCCTCCCCCGACCCCCCACCCAATCCCAAAGGCAAAAGGCTAGCAATTAATCACCATCACTGCGACCTTTCCTTGAAGCTTTTGAGAATATAAGGATGTCTTGAGGATTTGCTACCTGAAAATAAATATGTTAAATTGTTCTAGCACAATATTGAAAAATGAATACAGCTTCCCAATCCAGGATTCCAGTAAGACACTACCTTCCCAACATATTTCTGACCAAATCTTTGAGGATTTATTGTCATAAACCCAGAGTAATCCACCTGCCAAATTAAAAAAGTTCATGATCCATACGCATAGGATTTCATTATTCAGAATAAGAAGTCGGCATTGAATTGACTAGATTTCGGGAGAAAGAGAAAATGATAAAAATGCAGAAAAGTGAGCTTAGAATAATAAAACAGTAAACATTTAAGATGTTGAGTTATGTTCTAAATGACCCAAAAAGATGCAGTTAACCTTATGAATTAAGCTAGAGAGATGCAAGAAAGAAAAGACGTAGAAAGAACTTTCAAGAGCTGCAGAACAGCATACATGGTTACCTTTAGGCGGACTAATGGAAGCTTGAGCTCTGATTTGTTTACAGCCCTTTTGCTAGATTTCTCAATCAAACTTTGAACCTGAAAAACACTGTGAAGTATGTAATTCATGCACTCTGGTTACCACACTACAAAAAAAAAAACCAATAAAACAAAATGGGAAAACAAGGAAAATATTTCCACACTATTTGAACAAATTTTACATACCACTTTGTCCAAGTGTTCGATAATTGAGTTCTGATCATTAGAGTCGATGTCAGACTCATCCTTCAATACAATCTGCGTCAGAAAATTTAATTAATCAGTCATCGGTTAGCATTGATGAACATCAAACAAAAACCACATCTAACATTACCTCTGTGTATTCAAATGGCCTTACTGAAGTCAAAGGTATCTTGGTTGGCCGATATTGATTACCCTAAGTATATGATGATCCATGATTAAGAACACGCAGGTCTAAATACATTGCAGCTTCCATGCATACATGCAAAAACATTTTGACAAAGACAACCTTAATTTCCAACAAAAGAACATGCTTTGGCTTTGATTCACCATCAATCAATGATGTCGCGACTGAGGAACCTGGTTGTGTGATGTGAAATCCCATCCCAGGAACTTCCTGGAAAGAAATAGCAGGCATTCAATTTGATGAACTATCCCGAAGATTGTCCTATAGTGTTTCTTCCTTTGGAGAGAGAGAGAGATAGCAATGATACCAGAGGGTCAACCAAACATTCGTGTTCATGTCCCCAGACAATGAAGTCCAAGAAGCGAGGTAAAAAATGCTCATTTATTGCATTTTTAGGATTTGCCTTTACTCTGCAGGCCAAAGTAATTTCCGTCGGATTAATTTTAAATTCACCAAACTGGCATCACAGTAGGAATAGTCCATCACACATGATGTCAATAGAAGATATTGTTAAATGCGGAAACTAAATTTTCCTCAAATGTAGCTAATAGCCATAAACTATGTAACCTGTTTTGATGAAGTACCAGGATGTTGAACCAGTCTGTCACTTGACAGCCTTCCTGCGCTTCAGGCCGCATCCACTGAACAGCATGTGGTGTCTGAGAAGTAAAATAAATGTGAGTATCATAAACACTCGGGAATTCAAAGGTTGATTTCAACATAAAATACCTGGAACATCCTGTTCAGTCTTTCATCTCTAATATTTCCAAGACCATAAAGAGCCACGGATGTTGAACCCTGAAAACTTATAGCACACTCAGATTATTAAGTATACTGCCTTAATTGCATAGCAACTACCCACCAACCAACCTTTTTGATAAGAATGGGGCAGATGGTGATCTGACCAACACCAGAACCACCAAGAACCATTTTCCCGAAGTAGTTCACAAGATTGCATGCAGAGAGAATATCAACAGCAGAAAGGTTGTCCTATCCACCAATAATAGATAGATGTGAAGATATGTAAACCACGATCAAATGTATGACCAATAGGGCACACAGAAGAACAGCTAAGTAGAATATATTACTTGTTAGACCCTGTAAACCAAAACCAGGACCCAACCGGGTAAAAAAAAAACTGTGCTGGTGTGGTCGAAGTGTTGACTGCAAAATTATCATAATAAAAGACATCCGTCTACAGTAATATTCATACCACTCCAGCAGGATCATCATGGTTTCCATGAATACTGAATACTGGCAAACCAACATTAAAATGAGGATCTTCATAGTTGACGTGACCAAATCTGTTCAACACAAGAATGTAATGAACAACGAAAACCTTTGGAAACAAACATCTTGACAATATGAAACTAATGCTGAAGATTCAAAGCAAGATAGAAGTACAAAATCAGTCTCACATTGAGAGAGGTAATGAGAATTAAGAAGTTAGTGAAGCAACTCCAAGTGCAAAATTCTAAGGTTGATAAAAAAGCATGAAGAATAAGAAGATACAGATTTGCATGAAGAAGCATTTTGAATGCATGTATAAGACATTACGTGTTTGGAAAATTGATGGTTTGGTCGCTAACAACTTGGAAATGCACAGGTTTATCATTAAGACAATGATGACGCAGGATCTCAATTGCCTTCACTAATGTTGATCGTGATGGCTTGTTCTCATGGAAAAGGTCACCGCCAAGAAGTAAAAAATCCACCTGAATGGAAACAATTGCCAGTCAGGATGCACTCGACAGGTCTAAAGAATAAAAAAAATCCAGCATATGATTTGAAGTAACAATAAATGATATGTTATTTCTGCGACCTCTTTTTAATTAGAGCTGAAGATGAGAACCATCAACTAAAGAGAACTCAAGAAGTAATATTGCAATAGTTTCCATGGTTTTGAATTGAAGGGAATAATTATGAATGCAGTTCCTCTCTGCTTCTGCCCAGACGAGAGAAGCAAATCATTTGAAATAATTTATCAGTTTTACAACAAAAATACTAATAGAACAAATTAAAGTCATTTTGATCAAGTTCCTCAACTCATCCCTGAAGGACTAATGTGACCAAAATACATTACAGGCCATGCGAACGAGCATCTAAGAGAAATCGGAACACGGGAATAATAACACTCCCCATCACCTGCTTTTGTTCTGCAATTGAGCATATCTCTTCAAATGCCTGGAATGAATCATGCCGCCGTATTTCATCCTTCTCCAAATAACCCAGATGGCAATCTGTTGCGACAAGTATTCGAAGTGTATTTTTCATCTCCTCCCTAATAAATTGTCATTCTAAATTCAAAAAAAATTGGAAATAGTACAAAAAAAAAAAAAAAAAAATGCTGATTTAATCATAGATGTTCTTTTAGCATGCACATAAAAATCTCTTGATATAAATAAAAATCTGAGTAGGAAGTTTAATTAACAAGTCGAGAGGAAGATTGGCCTTTCCCTTGAACTTAAGTCTATGGAAGTCGAGATTGATCAACTAACATATGAATGCTCTCTGCAAAGAATTTTTTAAAAAAGTGCATAAAACTAGAAGCTACAAAACAACACCACGTCCACAACGCCTCCTCTCCCCTAGAAGCAAATACAAAAATACGTCTACTTCTCACAATCCAACCTTTCCAAAAAGATACCCAAATATGCAGTCAACTACAAAATTCTTGGCCTGGCTCACAAATTTGATTTCTAGCACTCCATTTTTAAATGAAAAAAAATTAAAAAAAGACCTTAAAATAAGGAGAAAAGAAACCGATTACCGAGATATATGTCCCATTGCAATAACCCTTGGACTTCCTTGAACCTACGTTATAAGAAAACGTTATGAACGGCGTTAATCTGAATCCCAATATCAAGTTACAAGTTTCTGAACATGAGCACTTCCAGCTATCCACAATATATGAGTTAAACGTCCATTTCTTCAATATCTCCCATCATTCCCAAAACGAAGTAATGAACTAACACGAAGTTTAAAGCGATACTGTGAACGATAAAATGTATATTCCGCTAAAATTTCCAATTTCATAATCTTAAACCCTAAACAGGGTTTTAAGCGCAAACATTCAAAGTTGATCAAGAAAAGGGTAAGCACTTTACACGACCTAAAACTAAGCTAATCAATAAGAGAACAAAACTCGTAAGCGTGAGATGGAGAGAATGGATATAAAACCGACTCTCCACAAGGTGTTTGTGATTAATTTCGCGTAATAAACAGAGAATTCTTATTCAACCCGCATTTTCACTGAAGCGAAACAGCAAAGTGGAATCCAGAAACAGGCGAAACGAAGTTTGAATACCTGTGGTTATGGCGATCAGACGAGCTATGGAGCTAGCAGAGCGAACCTTCAGACATGGAAATGCAGAAGAATGAGGTCAAAGCGGTGAAGTGTGGCGTGGCGGGGAATTTTTGAAGCAATGGACGGGGCGTGGGGTAAATTTTAAATTGGAATGAAATGTTGTCCTTATTAGCAATATTTTAATAATGGTTCAATTGAGGTTTTTTTAAGTTTAAAAAAATGTTTAATAAATTTAATTTTGTATTTAATAAATCCTAAAAAAAATATATAAAAATATAAAAATAAAAATAAAAATAATGATGTATTAAATATATATATATATTTTTTAATTTACTAGAGTTATAAATTCTTTTACTAGTTAAATTTATAGTTTTTTAAGCTCGTGAAATATATAATCTCAAATTTTAAAATTTATAAACTAAACCTATAATTTAATTGTGGTAACAAGATATGTAACACGTTATTTTTAATTATAAGATTTCATGGAATATAAACGTTGATCTTGATTGTCGTGACTATCGAGATCGAGCTTTTGATTAAACTCTCGAAAACCCATATTATAAAGGGTATTCTTTAACGTTTAGATCGAGATGAAAATGAAGTGGCAAATCTATTGGGTATCCCATGCTCGGTGACTGAACCATTTGATTTCGAGAAATGGGTTTAAATTGAACTATAATGTACGAAATTCCATTGAAATCGTACTAACAAAAGTATACGTATATATTAGCATTAAGATGGTCCATATACATATATAAAACAAAAACCCACTAAAACACAGTTATGTTTCTTGACTTCGATCATGCGAGAATTTACCAGCATGTTTAGAAGAGATTTTGAAATGATTAAAAAAACATATATTTAATAATTCAAAGTCGATTTAACGTAATTTTTCCATCATAAAATCAACTTTAAAGAATTAAACGTATGATCACAAACGATTTTATCCATTTCAAAATCACGAATTCTACCAACATCTGATCATCCCTTGATCGTCTCCAAAATAGAAAATTGAGTTGGGTTAGGTTTTTCAGAGCCAGAAGAGCCTTTGAACAGCAAAACTGCAAGGCTTCCAACACAAAAATAGATGAAGCATCCGCAACAATGTGTCACAAATGACCCAAAATCCGTTCCCACTATGCATTGCCATCCTCCACCATACATCCCGTCAAATTCCTGCTCAATTTTCAATTGACTCGTTATATATCTATCTCGATTTTAAATTTTTACTATTAAAAAATAACTATCGTGACGGTAAGATTCCACGTCGATTGAAAATGGAAACAAAACATTTGTTATAAAGATATGAAAACCTCTCTCAAATAGACTCGTTTTAAAAATCGTGAGCCTAACAACGATACGTAATGAATCAAAACAGACAATATGTATTAGTACTGAGCTTGAGATTATAGCTATTGGGACTTGGCTGATTGTAACATCAGCTCAGTTCGATTTACGGGAGTTATTACTAACATAGACCATTTACTTTGAAAACAAGTCATAAAACTAAAACATTTTCATATCTAACGAGCCTAAATTTTACCTTTTTAATGAAACGGGCAATGTCAGTGGGTTCAGTGACATCAAAACTGTCAAGGGCCTTAGCCGCAAGGTCCAGAGCGTTCTGTTGCATGGCCTGCAACATATCCGTCTCTCCGATGACTGCTTTGCCTTCTAACATGGCTGCCACCGGCGGAGTTGGCGGCGGGGAAATGGCGGATGTGAGCGGAGGGGGAAGGAAGCAGGTTTAGTTATATAGAAGCTTAGGATAAAGTTTGGCTGGTGTGTGGCTCACCCATGTCCAGACCCTCCCTATGTGGTCACTAGTGGGTCTTGGTAGAATGATACCAATTCCTTCATTTTGATACCCAAATAGGTTACATCAACACTAAATCCAAAAACTTATAGGTCAAATCCATTTAGATAAGATTCGACCAAATTAGTAATTTGTAAGTGCCCACGTGTCAATTAATGGTTAGCTATGGTTAATGATGGCTGAGTTGAATAAGACTCAACTTTATATGTTGAATCATTCAATGGCATCTCGAGCTACTCTCATTAGTTTGATATACTTTTTCGATCAAAGCGTATTGACAAGTGGAGACGACAGAGTGCCTCATGATTGACTATACCTAATAATAACGTCATGGTGTTATTTTTGAAGCATTCATTTTTATAAGGGTGTGGAAGCTTCTTCCTAGTAGACATATTTTAAAAATTGTGAGGCTGACGATGATACATAACGTGCCAAAGTGAACAATATCGGCTAACGGTGGGTTTTGGTTGTTACAAATGGTATTAGAGTCAGATAGTGAGCGGTGTGCCAGCGAGAACACTGGCCCCCAAGGAGGGATGAATTGTGAGATCCCACATCGTTGGGAGGATAACGAAATCTGTTAGCGATGGATTTGGGCTGTTACAAATGATATTAGGGCAGATAGCGAGTAGTGTGCCAGCGAGAATATTGAGCCCACAAGTGAGATGGATTGTGAGATCCCACATCGATTGGAGAGCAGAATGAAACATTCCTTATAAGGGTGTGAATATATCTCCCTAATACGTAACAGACCAATGTAGACAATATCTACCAACGGTGGGTTTGGACTGTTACAAATGGTATTATAGTCAGACATCGAGCAATGTGCCATTGAGGACGCTGGCTCTAAGGAGGTGAACTGTGAAATCCCACATCAGTTGGAGAGTAGAACGAAACATTTCTTATAAGAGTGTGGAAACTTCTATTTCGCATTTAAAAAATTGTAAAGCTGACAGTGATACATAACGAACTAAAGCAAATAATATCTACTAAATATGAGTTTTGGCTGTAACAAAAACGCTCACCCATTATAGGTCGCAATGGACAAGAAAAAAGGTGGCATAATGTGGTTTGTATGGGTGAATATTGGTGAATGGAATCACACTACAATATGTGGATATGTAATGAGGGCTTTCAATGAGATTCCAACACGTCCCACTCCGAACGTCAAATGGTACAGACTAGGCCGAGAAAATCCCACCACCGTAGAGCCCGGAGAGCTCCCACGCACCCTTGCGGCCCGGTTCCATGATTTCCGAAGCCCGCTGTGGAGAAGCTATGGTTAGTCCTTCAACAAAGAATCAATCGGCCCACAAATCGTAGCCCGCGCTACTGAACTGAGCCCTTCAGCAGTCCAATCCCTGCCCCGATTCACTCCGATTAGGCCTTCAAACCAGTCGGTGGGTTAATATTCTATTCATCGAGTTAACCGGAACAACCCGAAAATTGGACTGCAACATTACCCTATTGGTAAGATTATTATGGATATTTAAAATATTTGACTTTTGTAACTATTACGAATCACGAACACGAACCCACAATAGTATGATATTGTCTACTTTGAACCTAAGTTCTTGAGGTTTCCCCAAAATACCTCGTAATAATGAAATGTATTCCTTACTTATAAATTCATGACCATCCTTTTAATTAATCGATGTGAGACTCTCCACTAACGACTATCAATGGTAACCAATGTAAGTGGATGCATTGTGAGTGAGTCCTACATTGGTTAATTTAGTGGAAGACCATGGATTTATAAGCGAGGAATGCTATCTTCATTGGCATGAGATCTTTTAAGAAGCCCAAAACAAAGTCATGAGAGATTAGACTCAAAGTGGATAATATTATACCATTATGAAAGAGTCGTGATTCATAACACAGTATCATAACATGATATTAGAGTCATGGTTTGGAATGCTAAACTTGAACATAGCTCTAATTATTATATTCTCTCATTTTGAATTTCCATTTTCCATTAAAGAAAAACAAATCTAAATTTATAGTTTTTAAAAGCAAATATAAACAGGTGAGCTATTAATTTAAGGCTGTGATATTCGCAGGGATTTAAAAGTCCGACCAAATCAGATTATGACACAATGCGTCGGTTTGTCACCGACACATCCGTGCCGGTAACGCAATCGCCTCCCGCCCAACTAACACTAACCTACTGGCTAAAGGTGAAATTAAAAAAAAAAATATATATATATATATTATTTAAATGAAAATAAATATTTAATTTGAATTAAAAAAAAAAAATTGTTGTGAAATCCTTTTATTCCCTAGTTGTCACAGCACGTTCTTCGCCGCCATTTCCGCGGGACCACCAAAATGGTTGAGAAAAGCTCTGTAATAAATCGAATACAAATCATCCCTTCCATTTCCCCTACATCTCTCTCTAGAAACACATCCCCTTTTCCCTCTCCCTCTCCCTCTCCCCACCGCGAAATCCCTCAGCCACCATGGTCCGCTGCCTCTTCACATGCTTCGGCAAGGGCGGCGGCGACAACAACGGCGCCACGCCAGACCCTAACGACAGAGGGACGGCGGAGGAGCAGGGGCGCAGCGGCGGCGTCGTGGTGGAACTATTCTCGTCGCAGGGGTGTGCGACGTCGCCGGAGGCGGAAGTTCTGATATCGAGATTGGGGAGAGGAGATTTCGAATTGGAGGCGCCGGTGCTGGTTCTGGCTTACCATGTGGATTACTGGGATTATATGGGCTGGAAGGATCCGTTTGGACATAGCCAGTGGACGGTCCGGCAAAAGGCTTATGTGGAGGCGTTAGGGTTGGATACGATGTTTACTCCTCAGGTGGTGGTTCAAGGCCGGAAACAGGCTGTCGCCACCGATGAGGCTAGTTTGCTTGCTATGATTAAAGATGCTCCTATATTCCCCTCTCCCGCTTTTCAGGTAATTCTTTTCTTTTTCTTTTTCTTTTTTCTAATTTTTTAAAATTATTTAATTAATCTGTTAACTCAATATTTTATTTGATACGTATAGATAAAAACTTTAATTATTATTATTATTATTATTATTATTATTTTTTTGTTAATCTAAAATATAAAATATATGTATGTAACAATCTCAAACTAGTAGATGTTGTCGGCTAACAGGGTTTTAAAAGGGGTCTACTATTATTGAGATGTTTCCACACCTTTTTTGTTTTGATATTATAGTCCAATCTATCTCAGCCGTCTAACATCCAGCTGGCACACTTACTAGTGTCTGCCCCTATATTTGTAACATGTAACAATTTAAGTCCATTACTAGTCATATTGTTTGTTTTAACTTTATATATCGCCTCCCTCATGATTTTAAATATTTTAAAATCAACGACAATATCTGTCAACTGTGGATATCCACAGCCTCATAGTTTTTAATATTTTCATCACGGTTTTTAACGTTTTAAACCTATGAGACTAATGATGATATGTAACGGGTTAAAACAAATAAGTTTGGGCTGCTCCAAATGGTATTAAAAGGTATTAGAGCCATGGGCCTGAACGGATACAAATGGGATCATAGGCATGGGCCTGAATAGATACGAATGGGATCATAGGAATGGGCCGTCACGGTTACAAATGGAATCATAGGAATGGGCCTGGACGGTTACAAATGGAATCATAGGGGACGGTTACAAATGGAATCATAGGGGACGGTTACAAATGGAATCATAGGAATCAAGGCATGGGCCTAGACAACAATATAGCTGGTAGTGATTTGTATCGCTACATTATATAATATAGTATTTTATATATTTTATGGTAATATAAAATAATAATTATACAAAATTTATAACATAAATATTTTTCATTCAATTATTATTAATTTATATTACAATATTAGTTGGTATTGGTTCATATAATATTTTCTGAAGCCATTGGTAACAATTCCGCAGGGGACGTTCCAGAGGCCAACGACGGACAGCCTGGAAGTGACACTAACCGGAACATTGAGGACGAAGGTGGACAGCGACGGTGCCGACGTGATGGTGGCGCTGTACGAGAGCGGACTGATCACCGATTGCCTAGCCGGCGAAAACAAAGGCCGAGTTCTAGCCAACGATTTCGTCGTCAGAAGGCTCGAAAAGTTCTGCTCCGTCAAAGACACCTCCGCCAAAAAAACCGTCTCCGGCAGCCTCACCCTCACTCTCTGGGAAGGCTTCGAGGGCTCCAAATGCGTCGTCGCCGTCTTCGTTCAGAACAATTCGCATCATATTTTCGGGTTTCAGAGCTTTGAATTGCCGGAAGATATATGAAATTCGGCCGAGATTCGACTGTATATCGACTTCCTCGGAGCTCATCAGGCGGCCGATTTTGATTCCGACCACGATTTATGTACAGGATGTGTTAACTCCGTTAACTATTTGGTAGGATTTGTCGTTCAATCTCTTTATTTCTTTCAATAGTTTTATGACTTTTGGTTGTGATTTTTTTTATTTATTATTATTTCATTTCTATTTTTCCTATTATATTTTATATTTAAAATGTGGTATTTTTATGTCGGAGATTGGAGACTGGATAACATAATATATATATATATATATATATATATACACATATATTTTAAACTCAGAGAAATATTATTATTGTTTTTTTATTGCTAGGATTTAAATTAACATTAAAACTTTAATTTGCCTTCATATGATAAAGGTATATATTTATTATTTTAAGAAAATTAAGTATAAACACTATTTTTAAAAAATTAAACAAATTTGAAAAAAAAAATTCTACCAACTTATTTTTGTTTTTAATAGAATGTTATATAATATTTGGAGAATATATTAATTATAAAATATATTTTAAATATTTATTTTAATATTTTTTGTAATTTGATTTATAATATATTTTATTTTCTTTGTAAAAGACTCCTTTGAAGATGGAAAGTGGCGTTTATAAGCTTAATTTTTAAAAATAAAAAAAAAATGATTATCAAAATAACAACACCTAATTTTAACCTCAAAATTATTGAATTTTTTGAAACACAATATTACATATCTAATGGATCCAA